GGTATGCCGCTGTGTAAAAAGTGCAACTGTGTAGGCATGTTTACCTATGCACACTGCATGCATGCAGCTGCTCATGCCCGCTGTAAATTTTGAAGGACCGTGTGTGAATTCTCGCTTCCTCAGAGTTCCTTAGGCTCCAAGCCGTGAGGATAATCATCGCTGTCACACTGTCTTTTTGTTGTCCTCGCGATTCTTCGCCTGCCTCATGCCCACGCCGATGTTGAGGTCTCTGTTTCTTATTGTCCTGCTGGTGATCTTGGTTGTGCGTTACGTCATGACCGTGACCGTGGCGGTGGCTGGTCGTGGTGGTGGCCGTAGCAGCGACGGTGGTGATGGCCGTGGTGGTGGAGGTTGCGGCGGTGGTCGCCCACGGTGTGCTGTTGTCGTCGTGATGGCCGTCGTCGGTTACAGTTGCACCGTTGACGTTGTCGTCGTAGTCGTTGCACCGTGCCATCGTCGTCGTCGTTGTTCCCTGTGGAAGTCATCATTGGTGCTGTGGTGGTCGTTGTTGCTGTAGTTTTTGCTCTGTTATCGGTACCACTGCTGCTGCTGCTGCTGCTGCTGCTGCCAATGCTGCTGCCGCTGCCCACGTGCTGATGCTCATGTTGCATTAGTCGCTATGTCTACTGCCACTATGCCAGCAACATGATTGTGTGGTTGTGGCTTATGACTTGGCTGCCGACTTGTGTGCTGACTGTCGTTCTCGTTTGCAGTGTGAACACCCTTGGCTGATAGGATTGAGCTTAGGCCCTACTACCAGTATTCCAGCTGCAGGCTGAAGCAGTTCTGGCATTATCTTGTGACCTCGCCCCATTTGCAACTGCAGTTGTTTCTGCGTTGAACCACATGATAGCTTCTGACAGCTATTGATCTGACAGTCTGTATTCGCTGTTTGCTTCTTCTTGTTCCGAAAATGATACTCCTGAGAGGCTGTTGAGGTGTCTGAGGAGGTTGTCTTTTCTCTTGTTGCGACTCCCAATCTTGCTCTTGCACTTACTGCTGCGTGAAGCTTATTGCGGGCATGGCTCCTGTGATTGATCACTAGAACTACTGCTCTGGCTGTTCTTTCAATATTTCTGCGACGGCTTTGTTGCACTATGTGATTCTTGGCACGACTATGACTGTCATTGCTTTGGGTTTATACAGGAGGGCAGCCGCCACAATGATGATTGTAATCGGTTCTTCGGAATAGCATTGCCATGAATTAAGACTGCTACTTGCTGTTGGAAACGTAGGGCAGAGGCTTAATTGATGCGTGCATTGTTGTGCTTATAGTCGTTTATGCCTCACGTGAAACGGTAAGAACGTCGAATTGCACGACCAGAATCGTTGCAGTGATGGAAGTTTCGTCTTTTCCTCCATGTGTCAGTAAACATGTATTGAAATAAGCATTTCTTTCATTGTCTTGCTGCTTCACTTGCCGTCATACTGCGTGGCCACTGCTGCTGCAGCAACAACAACAACCACCACTACTAGTACGACGAGACGCAGATGATTTCTTTCGCGGCCCCCTAATTCAATCTTTATCTCTCAGCCCACAGAGTATCCGTCGGCGCAAAGACTGCGTTGGGCGGTTCCGCGTAGGCCTTGATGGGCCCCCTGGTTGAGGTGCAAAAGGAATTTTCGGTCCTGAAGCTTTACCCGAGGAGGTGCCCCCCATCAAGACTTTTTGCACGGGTTGGCAGCCTCTCAATACTGTGCCGAAGTGCGCCACTTAGTCGACTCTGATTTAGGGTTCGTAGCTGGTCTCTGCACAGGGTAAAGTCTCGGTCAATCTCAGTCACCAGGCATTGCGACGCATCTAGGGGAAGCATGAAGACAGTTTGATGCACGGGTACCAGTATCACTGCACTCCTTTGCCGTTCATAACCTCGTTGTGGTCATGATGGTCACTGACTGGAGCATACTGATTCCGACAACTGTCACGGTTCAGATTCTTTGTGTTGCTCGCGGTGTTGTGGGCTTTTATGTTTACCCAGTTTATCCTACCCGTCCAGTGCTCCCGCAGAAGCTATCCAGATTCTCAGACTGCAAAGTCAGACCATTTAGAATGCTTGCAGTGACTAGCACCTACAGAGCAGTGAAAGCAGTGATTATCATAGTTGCTCCGCAGTTTTGGCGCAGCTTTCTGAGCAATAAAAACGTGTGTGGGCACGTTGAGTATCCGTAAGAAGATGTTTAGGCACTCTTGGCTCACACCTTTTGATCGTGCTTCATGCCGCGGCGGCACATCGGCTCAGCTGTGGTAAATCAGCAGAACAAGCTGGAGGGCAGCGGTATTTAAGCCCTGGCCATACCCAAGACGCATGGGACGCAGTCATCGCAGCCGAAACAGTGCTGGTACTCTGCTATGATGCATCTCGTGCCGCAGGGAGAATATGTCGCTTCTTCTCGAATCCGAATTCACTAGTGGATTTTTTGTGTGGTGTTGTAGTTTCTTCCGACGGGACTGTGACGTTCTACCATAGCAAGAGGGCTCCATGCTGCAATTCAATTAGGTTGCAGCAAGGGGGTTCTCTAAGCAGGCGCGGCCGGTACCTCTGCTCTCCAATCGTTAAAAATCGTCAGATCTTTAGGAACCCAGGGGGGTCTCCAGCTCTGGAGCCTGAGAGGCTCCAGGTGCGCCCCCCCTGAACGGCTCTGTTTCCCGTTGGGAACGGAAAGCCTGTACCTTTAGCGCCGCCGAGCTCGGGCACGGCCCCGAAACTGCCGAAGGGGGCGTGCCCTAAACTCTGTGAGTTCTCGAGTGGCAACTGGCCTGGGGCAGTCTCTCGATGCTTTCAAAGCTGCTCTTGTATGCACAAGCCCGACAGTCCACTCCTGTGCTGAACTGGCAAGAGGCGACGAGAGGAGGTGTTTCTGCAGAGGCTCGGCCCCACGACAGAACAGAGTGAATTTGCTGCATGGACAGGTGCATGAGCTGAGTTGCAAGACCCGGATGACGTGCCAAACCAGCTTTGGACGGCAGTTCTTCGCACCAAGTCCGGAACCAGAGTAGTAAGTTGACAGTTGCACCCAGCTGGGATCTCCGTATTGAGCTGGCTTAACGGAATTTTTGGTTGCAGCCACAGTTATGTTGCTGCTCACGTCTTCTGTGCTTACGGCTAGGGCTACAGCTGCTGCCGCTGTTTCTACCACCACGGTTACTGTTGCCATTACAAGCATTGACAGCCACAGTGCGACATGGTCGTGGCAAGAGTCGGAATAGTCGCAATAGTTCTCGCACTCGTCGTCGTCGTCGTCGTCGTTCTCGTCGTCTAGGTTGGTAGCGGTGGTGGTGCTGCTGGGGCTGTCGCAGTCGTAGTCGTCATCGTCGTCGTCGTCGTCGTCGTAGCAGTCGTAGTCGCAGTCGCAGTCGCAGTCGTAGTCGAAGAAGCAGCAGCAGCAGGAGTAGTAGTAATAGTAGTAGTAGTAGTAGTAGTAGTAGTAGTAGTAGTAGTAGTAGTAGTAGTAGACGCATGGAGGCGGCAGCAGCAGCAGCAGTACCACGGGGAGCGGTACGTGTCCGGTGCACGTACTAGTCACCAGTCGTTGTGCAGGCTGAAGATTTGCACCCGTAACCATATATGTAAATTTTGAACCCTGGTAGACACACCACCCTGAACGCTAAACCCCACACCCGCGTGGCGTTTTGCAGCAGCTCATGCCGGTCCGGTCGACAAGAGGACCGAAGAGTGCGCCCCGCTCAGACTGCCAAGAGTGCAGGGGCGTCGGGTCCCGTGGTGCCCTTTTTAAGCGGCTTCACACTCAAAAAGAAAAGGTTTTCGAGGGTAAGCTGCAGAGCTATTACCATAAGGGACGCCGAGGAATAGGATTACTAGCGATTCAGGCGTTTGCATGACACCCTCCTGTAATATGGGCAATGCGTTCGGCACGATCGAGTAGATGAGTAGAATGTACCATCGGCGTGAGCATACCCATTAAAACCAGCACTGTAGCTGCATGATAGGGTAGACTTTTCAATTGGACATGCTGAGTCATGCCAGGATGAGAGAGTTTAGAGTCTAGCCTTTTTGGGATTAGGGCCAAAGGGGGAAAGAAAGTGTCAAGCCCAGGACGATGGGACCACAGAATAGACACGTAGGGGCCGCAGACATCGTCGGAACATCCGACGAGATCTTGGAAGAGGATCTTCTAAGAGGATATTCAATTATTTCCAGCACTGCTGGTACCAGCGTTTTCGGCCTTTAGGGGTTTAAGGGTTGCAGTCATCGGAATGAAGTGTAGCTCTTAGAGAGCAGATGCACTAGATGTGCATTGCAATGGACACAGTAAAGACAGGGTTAGTGAGAATGATGAGGAAACCAGTGTTGAATGGGCTCATCGAGGATGGTGAGAATGACAATGAAGAAGACAATGCCGATGATGTTTGGACACCATGACTACGGTGTAGGAGTAGCGGGACAGGATCCTGAGGGCAAGCTCCGGATTTGAAAACTGCCGATTGTTCTTCCTTCGTCCCTCCCCTTTGGTATGACGTGACAGAGCGAACTGTAATGACGGCGGTGCTTGTCTTTCGGGACGCAGGTGCGGCTGGATCGGGGTGTAGGCTTCTAACAGTCTAGGGTGAGGCGAGCTTTCTTTAAGCTGGGATGGAGGTTTCGGGTAATGATGGCGAAGCGCCGAAGTGCCCAGTCTTGCCATGCCTGATCCATGTTTCTGGCTAGTTGTATTGCATGGATTCTGGAAGAACCTCGCAGACAGGCCAGATCTGAAGCATCGAAAGATGGCAAAAGATGCAGGGTGCAATGGCTGCTTGCTGATTGGTTCGAGGAGCCCATGTTGTAAGGACCTGACAGCATGTTTGAGGACAGTTGCCAGGCCTTCATTGAACAAGAAATCCCCAAGCATGAGTTGCAAGCTCATCTCTGGACAGAGCGCGCGATCTAGAGGCTGCTGCGATGTTCTCACACTTGCCGCAAACGAACGCTAACGAGCGTAGTTGAAAGCACAAGCAGGCTTTGGCATTTGGATTGTGAAACAGTTCCCGCTTGACATAGGTCGGTGGAAGAGGTGCGGGAGAACCTGGATCGCCTGGAGACTTTGGCATGTCTTTTCGACTCGCATGTTTTCGCGCCGGGAATGATGCCCCCCTCCCTTTCCCCCTTCCCCTTGCAGGCTTTCTTGGACAGCAGCGCTGTGATCTCAAGCAGCGGAGCTTCGCATCTTTAGCAGCCGGAAGGAAAGGGTTCCCAAGAGGCCTTACGCTCCGGCGGTTCTTGGCTTCGGCTCGGGCCCCTTGCGCCTCTTGAAACCGGACCGCAAGCATGCCAGGATGAGTGGGCGCAGGAGATCAACGAGAGCCAGGACGGGCAGAGACAGAGAGAGAGCGAGAGAGAGTGAGAGTGCGAGCTCATGGCTCGACTGCCCAGCCCTCCTTTCACCATGTTATCATGTTATCTTCCAGGCCCTTTGCTATTCTTGTCGTTGCGCTACCTGCTGTTGCGGTTTTCTCAGTACCAGCAACGTGTGCTCGTTCATAGGCATGCCAAGAGTGCAGGAGCTGAACGAGCGGCACTTGGGCCTCTTCGCGCAGCCGGCTTTTTGTGGCTTTGTTCGGCAGTGTGGGCCAAGGAAATTTCTTCTCCACCCAGTCAATGGGGAACGCTTCTTTTTGCCAAGCAGCCGGAGTACTGCATGTACTGCATAGTTACCTACTCGTACCATCATTTCCCGAATTCCCATCATGCTCACGGCCAAGGTGTGTCCCTCGGCTTTGGTTGAACTCAGTACTCTGATGGACGAGTGCCAGTGCGTTAAATGCGCAATGGAGCGTGTATTGTATAGTCGCTAAACAAGAGTGCTTTCTATGAGGGTGAACATCTAGTGTCCGTCTTGATAGCATTCATCACAGTAAACAAATGTCATGCCAGCATAACTCTAGTTGGATTGTTTCTCCCTGGCCTGGTGAAAGTTTCAAACTGTTGGGAATTCAGACACTGAAAACAACAAGGTGGAACAGGACTGCAGTGAGTTTGGTATTGCCGCAGAGGTCGAACCCCTCCCCGCACGTTCTTGTCTCTGAGTGTCGGTGAGGGACCCTGGGTTTGTGGAGCAAGGAACTCTGCGATTAAAATCGACTTGCTGTGCGTAGGAGGCAGTGCACTGTTTATCTTCCTTTGTGTGGATGTGGCAGGGCAGCAAAGAGGCTAAGCATTTCGTCATTGACCTCTCTTACAACTTTCCACAGGAACCCTACGTCGTTTCGGTCTGTCTGTCTACGCCCGGCCAGCATGGGCAACTCCACACATGTATCCATGTTTGACAAGGTTTCGCCCTGCCAAGAACAGTCTTTGCGCCAGGTTGTGGATGTCACCCCTCTACGGAAGGACAGCCATCTATGGAATCATGCTAGATGCATGCCAGTGTCCAATTTAGCGAACTCATACCGTACTTCCGGCCGCGCATAACCTAAGAATCTGGATTCTAGATGGTTTTGAAATGTTCTGCATCTTCTACCCGAGGAAGCCAGCGAACAACTTCTGATTAAGAGTCGGTTTGACATCTGGAGCACCTCTAGAACAAGCTGCAGCACAGTCCCGAATTACTTGACATCGCATGAAAACAAGAGGTCTTTGCTTGACAGAACCCCAAACTCCACTCCTCTGGGTATCATTGTAATAATATCCAGTAGCATTAGTAGAAACTAGTGCATTATCAGTACTTTGATTACAGTCTCGGTATCATATCTGTCTTCTTTGCGACCTTCATCGCTGTCGCTGTTCTAAGCATATTCATGAATGCGTGCCAATTTTCGTTCTTCTGGTAGTGTTCCTTTATGTCTCTGAGTGCTACCACGGCCAGTATCTAGATTACCGAGTTGAGCGCAGGCTCTGCTGGCCATGTGTGCTTGCTGCCGGTTGAGGTGCGCGAGTTCTTGGCAAAGGTTCAGTTTCCGGATGAGGATCCCGCGAGACCCGGACGTAAGGGCTACTTAGACGAGCTTCGGAAATCCGCTTTATTCAGGCCGAAACCTTGATGACTCAAGAACTTGTTCCTTGCGGAGAGCCTGCTGTGCTGGCGGTATGTTGAGCTAGCGCCGTTTGTGCGTGCTTTTCCCGAGCCTCGGGCCGACTCGCGTGCAGGTGCGCCAGTCCAGCCTTTAGCCCCTGATATGTGCTTGCTGCGACTTCTCCTGTTCCTGCTACCAGTATTGATGCTGATGTGCTGAGTAGGAATTCTGCATTCGCTGCGAGTACACGACATGTTGACGTTGAGATTGGCATTTCAGCGGCTGCGCAGGCTGCTGGGGGTGGTCCAGCGGTGGCTGGAAGATGCATGTGTCGGAAGCTGAGCCCACAATGATGCGACCTGAACGAGCGAACGAGCGAGCGAACGAATGATCGAACGAGCAAGCGGATGAATGAGTGAATAAGGGTTATGAAGCCGAAATGAATGCATGGAAATGAAGGATTGACATGGTGAGTTATTGGGTAATTTAACGAGTGAATGAGTGACGAATCAATGAATGAATCGAAACGGATGAGTTAACTGAACTGAAACGCGATGAAGGAAGGAAGGAAAGAACGAATGAATGACTGAGTGAATGAACGGATGGATGGACGGATGGATGAGTGAACGAATGGGGGAGGGGGAGGGGGGGAGGGGGGGCCGGGCGGGATTGGAGAATGGACTCAAAAAACGGGGAGGGTATCAAGACGCCTGGGCCTGTGGCCTCGGCGGACTGAATGAATGAGTGAATGAGGGAAGTAATTCATGGATGGATGGATTCACGAAGGAAGTGATAAAGGAAGGACAGAATAATGGAATGAAGGAATGAAGAAATAGAACAGAATGGAATGGAATGGACCAATGGCAGCAATGGAGTGCAGGGCGGAATGGAGTGCAATTAGATCAAGGAGCGCAGGAATGAATGAATGGAAGTCGCGGGCCCCAAGTATTGAAACTGGAGCACTAATCCTTCAGCCCGAAGATGGCAAACTGCAACTGTGGTGTCACGTGGCCTCAATCGCCAAGAGCATCTTTGGATTGGGGTAGTCGACTTGAATGTTGACGAATCTCAGGCGGAGGGTCAGTCTTCCACAGGCCTGCAAACTCAACCCTAAACCCTACGGGAGGTGCTAGACCCTGAACCTTGCGTTCATCCCTTTGGCTTTCAGTTTCTGAGGCCCGGCTGAAGATGTCCCTGCAGGCAACAGTGCTGAAGAATGCCCGACTTGGTAGGTTGTTTGGCGTGATGGTGAATTTGTCCTTGGAAAGTTTGTAAGAAGCGTCTTTTGTCATAATGTGGTTCGTTACAGAGTTTTAGTAGTACGCTTCAGGGTATTGGGGCGTCGTCGGATTCGGGCGGCTATAAGAACATGGGTAAGGATTCTTGCAACCATGAGGGATCACGGTTCGGTTTCAGGTTTGAGGCGTCTGGTATGTTTAAACGTTTCATGAAAAAAGGGGGCTCGGACAGGATCTGGGAACCTTACATTACATGCCTGAGACAGACCTGTTGAGAGGTTGTAGAGCGACCTCAAACCTCAAGCCGCACCGTACAACCGTCAAGCAAGCAGACTGGTTTGACGGAATACGTTCGAGGCTCCTGCAGAGGTACAGCTCCAACAGGGCAAATCCTAAACCTCGACTTTGGGTCCCGCTCTTCTCGAAACTGAAACTCATGATGTACATGCCCTATGCCCTGACCATAGTACACCCCTACAATGCGCGCAGCCCCAAGCCCCATAATTACCCTGACTTAAGCAACAACGAAGTAATGCCGCAAATCCTGCAAATCCTGCAAAGCCCAAGAAGCCTCCAGCGCTTCACAGTCCAAAAGCACGGAGATTGTCATGGCCCCGAAGCAGCCGGATGAGCTGCACAGCACCATCGAGGTGCGCATCAAGTATTGGTCATGCGGTTGTCGTAGCGACGCATTGGAAGCAGTCGTCATCTAGGAGCCTGCCATGGGTCGTTAGGTACCCTAGCCGCCTAGCCCTAGCCAATCGAGAACAATCAGAATCAGCAGGACTAGACTACCTTGTCTACTTTGCTGTTGTCGACATGCGTTGCTAAGGCGGGCAAGGGCTCTGTCGGGCTATGTTCACAATCCCCTGCGGTTCAAGGCGCTGGAGGAAGGTTGGGCTGGAGGAACGGTTCCTAAGAGCAGGCCGTCAAGAGCCTGGGACCTTTCCTCGCCGAGATGGAGCCCGTTCTAGCTCCTCGGCCATGTTTGGATGCAAGGAAATTGAGAGCCACGTGTGTAGCTTGAGGGTTCTTTGGGCTGGGCGCTTCGACTTAAACCCAGGGCCTCCAAAAGGAGTAAGAAAGTCATCATGCTTACTACCCACGGCGTGTTGTTGGCAGTTGTTCGTTGACCCACGTGTTGTCCAGTATTTCTTTTTCTGTGCCGACTCCCAACTCGCAGTCTTTTCTCGTCCTGCTCTGTTCTTCGTACCTTCGCGCTAGCGGCACCTGAAACGCCACCTGCGGCCATATGAGGGTTGAGTCGAGGTCATACAGGTCTGGGGTGTGCGGTCCGTGGACTCTGGTGTTAGCCCTGACAGACCATCAAGGCACGCGACGCGAAGCAAACCCTACCAGCCCTACCCGACACCGTTGGTCCGACGGAGCATCGCGCCGAGGGATCAATCCGCCAGATGTTTGATGTGCTTGAGAGCCGCTGTCATCAGGCGCCGTCTCGGGGGGCGAGGGAGCATGTCCCTGCCAGCCTCGTCTTCTCGTTGACTTTGCTGCTGTGGAGGTCCCGCGACCACTCATCAAGCGCTGGTGAGGGCCTTGGGGTGGGAAGTCGATCTCTCGTCGGGAGCGTTCCTGATACATGTCAGTAGAAGCCACGATTCGCCGAAGACGTGCTGCCATGCATCCATCATTAATGCAAGCACCTGATCGCAGCTGCATTTGTTACCGATCGAAACTCGGTGCATGTGCCGGCACAGAGTTCTACTGTGCAAGACGACCGCTACATGTGATTTGACGACCACAGCTCGCGTTGTCACAACCGTCGCTTCTTCTGCTGCCCGCATCAGCCTGCAAGCGCAGGTATGAGTGCATCCATGCGGTTCCTGATCTGAGAGATCGAGCAGAGCGGTGGCAAAATACCTTCCGCAAGGCGGGACCGTTGAAATCAAGCATCAGGAACACAGTAAACCCAAGCCGTACCTTGAAAACACTGCAGAGCCTAGTGCCCGCAGAATTCATTCCTGACTCCAGAACCCTACAACCTGCAACCTCCATCGTGTAATCCCGAAGTCTAGAAGCCCCCCCCCCCAATTCCAAATCCTAAGCCATATGCAAACACCAGAGGACCTGCGTGGCAAGTTCAACATGAAGATTGCGGAGAAGGCCAAGTTCCTCGCCGCTGTGGCCCCAGTAAAGCAGAGTTTAGGATTTACCCCTTTGTACAATACCGCAGCCAGGAATGGCCGATGCCACTTCTAGGTAGTAGTAGTAGCAGTAGCAGCAGCAGTAGCAGTAGCAGTAGCAGTAGCAGTAGCAGTAGCAGTAGCAGTAGCCGTAGCAGTCGTAGTAGTAGTAGTAGTAGTAGTAGTAGTAGTAGTAGTAGTAGTAGTAGGAGTTGCAGCAGCAGCAGCAGCAGCAGCAGCAGCAGCAGCAGCAGCAGCAGCAGCAGCAGTAGTACTAGCAGTTTAAATGTACGTAGCACTATTCGCACTAGCAGCACTAGTAGAATCAGTAGCAGTAGCAGTATTGGTAGGAGTCATAGTCGTAGTCGCAGTCGCAGTCGCAGTGGTAGTGGTAGTGGTAGTGGTAGTGGTAGTGGTAGTGGTAGTGGTAGTGGTAGTGGTAGTGGTAGGAGAGTCGTCGTAGCAGTAGTAGTAGTCGTCGAAGTCGTAGTAGTAGTACTAGCCGTAGTAGTAGTACTAGTGGTAGTAGTAGTAGTAGTAGTAGTAGTAGTAGTAGTAGTAGTAGTAGTAGTAGTAGTAGTAGTAGTAGCAGTCGTAGTCGTAGTCGTAGTCGTAGTCGTAGTCGTAGTCGTAGTCGTAGTCGTAGTCGTATTCGTAGTCGTAGTCCTAGTCGTAGTCGTAGTCGTTGTCGTAGGAGGAGAAGGAGTAGTCAGTAGTACCAGTAGCACTAGCAGTAGCAGCCGCAGCAGTAGCAGTAGCAGTGGCCGTGGCCGCAGCCGTAGCAGCATCAATAGTTCTTTCTTATGCTTGAGGAGCTGCTTCTGGAGGTTTCCTTCCTTGGGCATCAGATCATCTGATGAGGGTGTGCCCTGTGTTGCACGCCAGCTCGGACAGCAACAGCTCCACCCACCCGTCCCCCCCTTCCGACGAAAGCCAGCCATAACCGTCATAACCCTTAAGCCATCGAGCTGGGAGCTTCCCTCGGGAAGCTCAGGCACAGGTCGAAGAATGCCGTCTGGTGCTTGAGGAGTATGCCTGCAAGGCCGAGATTTCTCTTTTCGGAGGTTTTCAACTCTTAAGCCGGTAAACTGACCTGGGAAGTTCAATCCCCAAACCCAAGACCCCCCCGGTGCGCAAACCCCAACCGGCAAAGCTGAGATTTGACTCTGCGCCTGTTGTTTCCTGGCTCTTGGTGCCTTCTGTTTGCTCGGACTTGCGAAGGCAGTGCATTCATGTAGAAGAGCAACCCATGTCAGTGCGGATCCATATTGGTGACCACAGTCATAGCATGCAGAGTTATGCCGGCTTCCTTTGGCGCTGCTTTCGAAGTCTATCAGTGGAACCTTCCAAAGTCCTCTGCCTTACGGCTGTCCGGCCAGGTCTCGCTAAACAGAGCAGAGTGGCAGACTTAGCAATTTGTCCCAAGCCACAAGGCGAGGTTGCAGTGGTGGCCAACTCACAGGGAACAGCAGATCACAACGAGCGCAATGCATCTGGTCGATGTGGGGATTCGAAATAGCTTTTCAAACGACTCAAGCCCGGATCCAGACAGCTTATACCGTGAATGCAGACTCCAAGCCTCATGCTTCAGACCCACGGTCCACATCCCACATCCCAAACCTGCGCCCGTGCAGTCATCCTGATGGCCAGATGGCTGTATTCTACCCATGCGACGTCCGATATGACGGTTTCCAAAGCGATCCCATAAATCCCCTTTCTGCCAGAGCCTCTGCCGAGTCTTTACTACACGAAGATGAAGAAACTGCAAGAACGAGTCTGCAAGCTGCAGGAGCAGGCGCGTTTGTTGGGAGGATGGAGAAGTCGGGGTTTGTTGCCGGAGACGCCAAGCCTGCGCCAAAAGCTGGTTCAGGCAATCCTGCTTTCGATGAGTGTAAACCCGAGCCTCCCCTACATGGCAACCGACATGTAAATCTGATGCCCAAAACTCCAGATCAAGACAAAGTAGCTGAGGATTGTTCGATCTATGCGACCTCTCCGGTGTAGAGTGTTTTAGGACAAGCATTTTGGCGCTCAGGTTGAGGGGTTTTGGCTCACTGTGAGGGACACATGTTCACAAGCAGACTTCCTAGTGCTTCGAGGTGAAGAAGCAGCATGTTCATGAAGAGATGATGGAGTCCCTTGGCCCAACAGCCGTTTTTGGTTTTGTGGGGTTACAGGTGCAGGGGGATTCAATGTTTCAGCTCAGCTGCTTGTAGTCTGTGCATGTGAGGAGCGCATTAGTGCCGAACCCCAACTGACGGCAAGGCCCATTGGCGCCCAAAGGCCACTGAAACCTCCAGTGCCCAGCATGCAGCCCACGGAAGGATGCCTCTGTCCGATTTCCCGGGCTTGGCAGCCACGGCCAGGGGCCGAGCGGATGCAAAGGTGTGAAGGTTGTGAGTTTCAGGGTCCAGGGCTGAGAGAAGCATCTGGATTGCAGGGCGTTGGTATCACTGGTTTCACACTCACAAAGGCTTGCTTTGTCGGTTCAGGTGTCGTCAGCAAGCGGAAGAACTTGGCAATGGTATTAGCAAGAAATACGACAATTACTGACTACAGAAACCTGAGGGTGACGATCCACCTCCCCGCACCATCGAAATCCCAGAACCCCTGCGGCGGCTCCTCTCTGGGGACCAAGGCCGAGCAGCTGGCGCCTCTCCTGGAGCTCTGGTACCTGGCCCACGCCAGACCCCGAGAAAAAGAGAAAGAGAGACGGGCCGGAGAGAGGGGCACGACCGTCGAGGCCTAGAAGCCGGCGGTGTCAACGGCGGCGGATGTAGTCATCGCAGTTGTGGTACGGTGAATCAATTGCAAGAGAACTTGCACGCAGTTAGCAGTCCCCTGCGTGACCCAATATCAAGTGTGCATCCCCTGTACACGCAGTGCATTCAAGCGTTGGAGGAGTGGACGCATTGGAAGGAAAACATCCTCTTCGACTATTTTGTCCCGAGCCCAGTTTCTGCTCAAGGTTGAGAGATGTTGTTAGGTGAAAGGTTTAACACGTCAACTTAGGGCTGGTTTGGTGGCGGAATGACACTGTGATGGGACAAACTCCCGTGAACCCTTGGTCTGAAGGCCGTAGACTCTGGGAGTAGTGTTCCTTCATCGTCTAACCAGCATACCCTAGAAGTGAGTTGAAACTATTTCTGCTCTTACAGTTACAGGGCTACGAGGGCAGGCCCAAGTTTCGAGCCATAATGTGTAGCTATTGCACCGACACTCACCGACATAACTGGGCTCACTAGCAAAATGGGCTCGGGGGCTTGCGAGATGCTTGAGGGCGAACGGTTTGGCAGTGGGGTGTTTATGCGGGTTGTAGGCAAAGCTCCACTCATACCGAAAGAAGAGGGTTTGAAAAACCAATCTATTTGTTTGATTCCCCCGGCTCAAGCCCACAGCCTCCAGCTCGCAACTGAAGCACGCAGCAGGCGACCCTACCCAAACTCCATCCTCGCAAAATGTCGCCATTGCAGGAACTTGTTGACCTAGCTGCAGAGATGAAGTCAAGGTGACTGTGCGTTTATAAGTATTCGCAAAAAAGGAGCCAACAGCCTTCTGCGTCTGAAGTGCGCTCAAGCAAGCCGCTCGCTCATCGTGCCTTGAGCCCATCCGTTTTGAACCCCCTCCCGTTCCCTACCCGCTTGTGGCACCGGCCGGGGACCATGATGCGAAGCATGGGCTTCGGGAGCCAGGGCCAAGCGACCTCCCAGGAGCCAAGGGAAAGCCGTCCCGAGGGCATCGGAATCGGGGCTTTTGCAAGAGTGCCTTCTCAGTTTCATATGTTCTTGTTTGGGCCTCCAAGACTGGCAGGACTGCTCCATACACGTCTGCACGATCTGCCGTGCTCCGATCAAGCTCTCCTACTTCGTCCGGTACTGAGCATGCTGCAGATATGCCGGGAGCCAGCTTTCAGTACTAACGGTTATCAGCACAGCCAAGCAGCAGGTCCAGTTCCGCCGTCGTCGTGGCAGTAGCAGTAGCAGCATCTGGAGTAGTAGTACTTGTAGCAGTAGTAGTAGTAGTAGCAGTAGTAGCAGTAGCAGTAGCAATAGGAGCAGGAGTAGGAGTAGCAGTAGGAGTAGGAGTAGGAGTAGGAGTAGGAGTAGTAGTAGTAGTAGTAGTAGTAGTAGTAGTAGTAGTAGTAGTAGTAGTAGTAGTAGTGGTGTGGTAGTGGTAGTGGTAGTGGTAGTGGTAGTGGTAGTGGTAGTGGTAGTGGTAGTGGTAGTGGTAGTGGTAGTGGTAGTGTAGTGGTAGTAGTAGTAGTAGTAGTAGTAGTAGTAGTAGTAGTAGTAGTAGTAGTAGTAGTAGTAGTGTAGTAGTAGTAGTAGTAGTAGTAGTAGTAGTAGTAGTAGTAGTAGTAGTAGTAGTAGTAGTAGTAGTAGTAGTAGTAGTAGTAGTAGTAGTAGTAGTAGTAGTAGTAGTAGTAGTAGTAGTAGTAGTAGTAGTAGTAGTAGTAGTAGTAGTAGTAGTAGTAGTAGTAGTAGTAGTAGTAGTAGTAGTAGTAGTAGTAGTAGTAGTAGTAGTAGTAGTAGTAGTAGTAGTAGTAGTAGTAGTAGTAGTAGTAGTAGTAGTAGTAGTAGTAGTAGCCGCCACAAGTGCTCAAGCGGCCGCGCTGAATGAGAGGTTTCGAACAGGCTTGGGGCGCAACTGCTGTGCTAGAGGTTCCAACCGGGCCCTTTTCTGAACAGTAAAGGTTTGTGCCTCCTTCTACGCCATGGTCCTCTCCCTTTTCTCACAGGAGCTGCTTTGAGCCGCCAGGTCCCAATTCCTGGGCCCAGACTCTGTTTAAAACATTGCAACACTGGGTAGGCGGTAGGGTTTCCACCTCCGCGCGGTGGAGGGAGTCATTAGGCTTCTGTCTCTTGACGAAAGTAGCGGATGGCGCAATTGCCAGTGCACTCACAAAACTTTGCATCTCTTCGTAAGAATTCGTTCAAGACAGCATGTAGAAGGACAGTCCGTAGTGACGGGCCCGTACCATACCGAGGGCAGGTTCTGACACCTACCCTAGTTGATCGACTGGGGGTGCGCCCCCCACCCACTCGAAGAGAGCTTCAGTCACAGACTGCTGACTCCCCTGCATATGGCACAGCCTCCCGCAGGGCAGGAAGGTTGGAAAGATCCATTCGAGTTCTTTCGTGGAACGCTGGCCACCTAGGCCAACAGCAATGGGGCGAACTCAAAACGTGGCTAGCAGCTGAAGCCTCTCATCACTGCGACGTCCTCATATTGCAGGAAACGCACTGGACTGAGACCAGTGAATTCAGCGTTTCTGGGTGGTACTGTATCTCCTCAGCCTCGGAGTCTACCAAACCCAACACCCGGCCTAAACAAGCAGCGAAGCGAAACACTCGGCAAGAACCGCGAGCTCCATCCACGACTCGCGCTGATGGAGTCATGATCCTATTCTCTCCCAAGTTCGTCCCCAAGAGCTTACGCTGGAAGGAGTGGAGCCCGGGTAGGGTCTTAGAAGCTCGTGCAGACATTGCAGGTACTCGGCTGGTTGTCCTCGCGGTGTACCAACACGCTTGGTCTTCTGCCAAGACCATCCAGTCCAATAAGGACGACCGTGCTAAGGTACTATCTGTCATGTCCAAGGTGATCAAGCAGGTGCCTAAGAGGGACTCCCTTATTGTAGCAGGCGATTTTAACACTTCCCTGCGTCCGAGCTCTCCATTGGTGGGAATGCACGTGAAGCCATCAGGGAGGAGGACGATACGGCAAAGGCCCTGCACAACTGGATCGCTTCCAGAATTGACACCTGCCAGGACCCCAAGGCATGGAATGCGTTGCTTTTGGAAGGTGCAGAACGCTTTTTCCCAAAAATTCCCAAAAGAAGACCGATCCCGCTGGAATCGGAAACCCGTCGCATGTGGCGGGCCCGCACCCATGACAGGGCTGCGAACACCACTCCCTCAGCACAGCTGATCGAGTCACCTAAAGCAATGGCACAGCCTCCTAATCAGAACACGCCACGTCCGCCGGAAACCGAAGCTGAGCTGGCACAAGTGGCCCACCGCCAGGCTGTGAAACAAGCAAAGAAAGATCGAATTGCGAGTTTCATAACGGAGGTGGACGCGTGTCTAGCTGAAGGTGACCAACATATCTCCTTCCAGACCCTCAAAAAGCTGCAGCCTTGGCAGCCTGCGCGCAGAGCTCAGCTAAAGGACAACACAGGACATTTACTAGGTCCAGCGCAGGAACTTGCAGCCCTCAGGGACTATGCCAATCAGGTATTTGCGGCCCACCCTCCGTTACGGACAATGCATGGAGCTTTCCCTGCTTTGGAGCCGCCCAAACTAGCAGCTCACATACATTCCATCAAGCCTAATAAAGCTGTTCCTGACGGAGCGGCACCTGCGGCTGTATGGAGACTGTGTAGCGATCTCGTTGCACCGGTCCTCTCCGAACACGTAGCATCCAAGCAGGCCGAGGACAGTCTAGAATCCGACCTCGTAGACGCTGATCTCTGCTTAATTCCCAAGCCGGGCAAGCCCTCTGACAAACCCGCAAACCTGAGACCCCTGGGCATCCTTAGACCTGACGCTAAGGGACTGGCGGGAGCGGCCAGAGAAGCGCTTCAACCACTGACACTCTCGTTCCTCAAGCACATGCCACAGTTCGCTTATCTACCAGGTCGGGGGCTGTCAGACGCGCTAGAACGCGTGGTGCATCACTTGCGAGAGGCTCGATCCCTGTTAGAACAGGCCCACCCCACGAGACATGCCTTGCAACAAGGCACACAGGCCCCAGCCTTAGTCGGCGGCCTCACCTTTGCTCTTGACCTCAGCCAAGCGTTTGACACTGTCTCTCGCCAAGAGATCATCGACCTTCTTCAGAGAGAAGGGGCCGATCAGGACACAGTCCATCTCGTTCAGGCTCTACATGACGGGTCTCGTTACGTCCTTCACGCGCAGGGAGATTCCACCTCTGTTGAAACCACAGCAGGCATTAAACAAGGATGTAAGCTCGCCCCCACACTCTTCTCGTTCCTTACAGGTGACCTTTTCCGCTCTTTGGTTGACCTTTTCGGTGCTGAGCAGGTCTTGAAATTCCTGACAGGATATGCCGATGATCTCACGCTCCATCGGACTATCCGCTCTGACAAGGACCTCAGGGCCATTCATGCGCTCATCGCAGCGCTACTTGAGGAGGTCCGCAAACACCGCCTACGAGTCAACATTAGCAAGTGCGTCATCTTGGTGAAGTTAGCGGGTAGAGAATCCCAAAACGTGATGAACAAACACGGCTGCTGGATCACCAACTCCAAGGGCGAGCAGGTTCGCGGATGGCGCATCGGGCCCAATAAATCGTTCCCCGCCTTCCAGTGGGTCTCCTGTAGCAAGTACCTGGGGGTTATGATCTCCTACAACCACTTCGAGCTGCAGTCCTTACATTACCGCATCGGGGAAGCAAAGCAAAAGCTGCATCAAGTCCGCCAGTTTGTCTACAATCGCCGGCACGCGAGCACCATGTCGAGACTTAAGGTTTGGCAAAGCACAGTCCTGAGCACACTGACGACAGGCCTCTCAGACGTCGGACTCAGCGAGGAGTCGGCCAAGCAGCTACGCAGTTGGCATGCTTACAAGGTGCGATCAGTGCTGAACTTGCCAGCACACACCAGCCGCATCACCACCAAGGATCTCTTCCAGCTTTATAGCATTCAGGACCCAGTTCAAGCGATGCAGGTCAAGCTCAGGAAGAGACTCCGCAAACTTGAGCGACGCGCAGCCAGAAGCCCAGATATCACAACCGATCCTTCTGTCTTGCAGGTCATCCGGGATAAACTGTATTTCCTGTCCCACCTCCCTGATGCAGCTGAACACCCTGTAGCCCTACATGCGTGCACACTCTGCGACGCCTCTTTTGAGACAGCAAACGGGTTACATTTACACAGGTCGCGAGTGCATCCAGCCAGCATTGACCGTTTTGTGCCATCAAGC